CCTTTAGGATTCAGTACGGGGGTCTCCGGGTTTTGTTGACTCCAATCCGAACCGGGGTGTTTTTCCCCTTCCTAAACAAGAAAACAAACCTGGGTTACCATTATCCCCCGTCCTGGGTCCCCCCAAACGGGGGGGGGGTCCCAGTCGTTGGCCGGGCTGTGTTTTCCCTTCCCCTCGGGGCCCCCCGGGGGGTTTTATTTTTCCATGGGGCATTGGGCATGGGGCATTTTGGGGGGGGGCGGGGAAATCCTGGGGTCGCCCCCGGTATTTTTTTTTTGGGGCATTTGGATTATTTGGGCCGGTGGTTCACCCACTGTTTTCGTTTTTTGGGGGCGGGGGGGCCCCCCCCGTTGGGCTTTAGCCTAGGGCCCCCCTTTTGTTTGGGTTCCTCCGCCCCCCCCTTGGGGGCCCCGAAAGGTTAAAACCTTCCCCCCCCCCCCCCCCTTTAGCCCCCCCCCCCCCCCCCTGGGAGACCACGCACGATGCCCCAGCCCCCGATGCCGTCAGTCCATGTCCTCCCCCTCGCCCGGCCGACTCGCCGCGCTGCCCATCGCCGCCGCCTGCGTGAGCATCGGGCAGTACGCGGCGCCGACGCGGTCGAGCGACGCCTTGAAGGAGGCCGCGAGGTGCTGGTTGAGCGCTGCCGTCTGCGAGGGCGCCTCGCCGTCGACCTCCGTCCCCTCCGCCCCTCGGCCGTGGCGGGCGCCAAAGTCGGCTCCCTCCTCCGGGTCGCCGACCAGCCCGCCGGCGCCCTGGTCCAGCCCCTCGGGCTCCATGGCCGCGAGTCGCCGGCGGAGCTCCTCCAGCGTCGGCCGCTGCTGCGGCGGCGGCGGCGGCGCGCCAAAGTCGAAGCGCGCGTCGGGCAAGTCGGAGACGCGCACCTCGCCAGCCAACAGTAACTCGTGAGGGGAGCCCATGGACCAGGACTTTCGTCACTCGGGCGGAGACGCGCACCTCGTCGCCCCCCTCGGCACTCGCGCCGCCGCCGCCGCCGCCGCCGCCATCGCTCCCGCCGCCACCGCTCCCGCCGCCGTCGCTCCCGCCGTCGCCGCCGCCGTCGCTTCCGCCGTCGCTCCCGCCGTCGCTCGCCCCGTCGCCGCCTCTGTCGCTCAGCCGCTCGCTCACCTTGTCTCCGCCGGGGGAGCCGCCCGAGAGGAGCGACCAATCGTCCGACGACGGCGCGGGCGGCGGCGCCGCCGCGAGCCCGCGCCCTCCCCCGCCGGGCGGCGGAGGGGGGGGGCGGGCGGCCGGCGGCGCCGCCGCCGCCTCCTCCTCGGCGGGCGAACCGAGCGGCGACACAAACGGCGGCGTGTCGGCGAAGCCGCCGAGCGACAGCCGCTCCGCCGCCGCCGCAAAGCCGCCGCCCGCGCCCGCGCCGCCCGCGCCGCACGGCGATGCGCCCGGGGAGACGTAGTGGAACGGATCGAGCCCGGGCCGTCCTCGCGCCGTCTTCGGCCTCGCCGCATCCGCCGAGCCCGGCCCTACGGCCGTTGCGGCGGCCTCCACCGCCGACGCGGCCGCCGCCGCCGCCGCGGCGGCGGCGGCGAGGGCTGGCCGCTGCGCTAGGAATGCTTCGCTTGGACTCGAAGCCTTGGCAGCGCCGAGGCTCTCCTCCAGCGCGGCGTCGGCGGCAGCGAACGAGTCGAACCGGTCGAAAAAGTCGCCGCTGTCGCCGCGCCCCTCCCCCTCCTCGCCCTCCTCCTCCCCCCCTCTCGCCCCGTCGCCCGCCTCGCCCTCGCCCTCGTCCGCGTACGCGTCGTCCTCGTACATGTCGTCGCAGATGTCGTCCTCCATCTCCTCCTCCGCCTGGGGCATCGAGGTGAGGGGTCAGCTATCACCAGATCTCGTCCTCCATCTCCTCCGCGGCACCGAACCGCGACGAGCCGTCCAGTCATGAGGCGCGGACGTCCGTCAGAGGGCCGGGACCAAAAGCGGGGAGGAGGGCTCGGGGGAGATAGGGTGTGCGCCGAGAGGGCGGTCACACGAGCGGCCATCGCACAGCACTCAGGCGTGCAAGAGTTGTCGCGACGGGCGCGCGCGCCTCCTCTCCCGCCGGCGACTCGGCGCGGCCGCCGTCGGTAAACTCCGCCTCCCCCGCCCCTTCGCGCCCGAAGCGGCGCAGCATCTGGAGCAGGGCGGCGCGCTGCCGCAGCGCGAGCGGGCCGCGCAGCGCGGAGAGGCCGTGCAGCAGCCGCAGCAAGAAGGGCAGGTTCGTCTCGTCCTCCTCGAGCAGATCCGCGACCTGCTCGTGGACCAGCTTCTTGGCGGCCGAGCCGAGCCGCTCGTCCTGCCCGCGCGCCGCCGGCGTGGGAGCTGGAGCGGGCGCGGGCGGCGGTGAAGACGGGCCTCCACCGCATGCTGCGCCGAAGGCGCGGACCGCTTGCGCCCGCTCGCCAACCCGCTCGAGCGCGGCGAGGCGTGCCTGGAGCTCCGCAGAGCCGCCAGCGGCGTGGCGGCTGCGGTGATCCTCGACGACCGCGCTGGCCCGGAGCTTGATGCGCTCGAGCGCAGCAAGGCGAACGCGGAGCTCCGCGGCGGCCACTGACATGCAGACTAACTCCACTGTGTCGAGGTTTAGGCTGTCGAGGTTGCGCCCGACCACAACGGATAGTTTTGGATGTGCGAAATGTGGTTGGCGTTGAAAGAAGAATTCTCGAGATAGTCTCACAGAAAGAAGAATTCTTAAGACAAGCCTCTCTCACAGCACACTGGCACGACAAGGGCGCAGACTGGCGCGGACTGGCACACACACAGGCTCACCACCGGAGCCGCCTAAGCGACTCCGTTAAGAACGGCAATGCACTCCGCACCATGCACAATGCCGCTCTCCCCGCACGCTAGCTCGTTCACCGTCTGCCACGCCACGGCGGTGTGGAGGACGACAGACAAGCGCTGCATCTGCAGCCCGTGCCAGTTCTTGGTGGTCCATGTGACCTCGTCCAGGTGCTGAGCGTGCGAAAGTTTATTGCTCAGCTGGTTCGCCGCCTCCCTCAGGGTGCTGCGAACCTACCGCCACGCTCCGGTGGGTGTCGGTCGTGGGCCTGCCTGACGCAATGAGACACGCTCCGCTCCAACCTCCGAGCCTCTCGTAACGTCTAACCGCCCGCCGCGCTAACTGACTCCTCATCACCTCCCTACGAACATACATAGGTAGAAAGGTGAAGAACAGCCAGGCTCGGACTGGACACCAACGCGGTATGGGTGGACGCGAGACAGATGATGACGACACGCACGAACGACACACAGACACAAACAAGCTCACAAGACACACAGCCAGCTGGCTGCCACACACCCTGAGTTGGCGTATACATAACTCAGGGCCACATTCTTCCTGTCGCCCCCCCCAGCACTCCAAGGTGCCAAGAGAAACAAACAAGGGTACAACAAACAACAGACGACAGGAAGCAACGTGCAAGGCTAGAGCAGGCTTGCTCGTCCTCTAGCGGGTATGTTCGTAAGAGCTACATACACTGAAAATTCTGTTCCACCTGTGTCCTTGTCAAAGTCGATCGACTTCTCACGATGGGCTGCTTCTCCAGCCGCGTCGAGGCCCCGACCGAGGAGCTGCCCGGCCCTCCCGCCGTCGAACGCGACGCCCCGACGCCCGCCGAAACCGCCGCGCCGCCGACACTCCCCTCCGCCACCGATCTTGGCGTGAGCGAGGGGAAGCTGGAGGTGTGGCGCAAGCGCGGCGGTGGTGACCTCGAGCCGGTCCTCGCGAGCGGCGCCGTCGCCGTCCTCGACGCGCGGTGGGTCATCCGCCACGCCGAGGCGGGCGGCGTCCTCACCCACCGTCAGGCTCTGCCCAAAGAGGCCTTCCTCTCCCTCACCGACCTCGTCGAGGCGACCACCAAGTATGGCAGCCTTCCCGTCGGAGCGCTCTCCTACCCGTGGCTGACCAAGGACCACCCCGACCCGCGCGGAGCCAACCTCTCCCGCGTCGCGAGGGCGCTCAAGGCCCTGCTCACCGACATCCCGCGGCTCGGCGTCTTTTGGGACTTCGGCTCGCTGCACCAGCACCCCGACCCCCCCAACGGCGTCCTGCGCACCGAGGAGCAGAACGCGCTCTTCAAGCAGGGGCTGGGCTGCCTCGGCACGCTCTACTCCCACCCGCAGACGTGGGTGCTGCGGCTGACCTCCTTCCCGGACGGCCACGCGGCGGAGGACCAGATCGAGGGCACCAACGTGGCCGCGTACTTTGACCGCGGCTGGTGCGCCACCGAGAACGCCTGGGCCAGCCTCACCAAATCCAGCGCCCTCTCGCTCGACCTCGGCAAGATGCGCGGCGGCAAGGAGTACTACTGCCGCAGCCTCATCGACGACTGCACCCAGGAGGGCGGCCGGCGCCCTCCGCTGCTGCCGTCTGCGTTCGCGGCGGAGCTGGAGAAGAAGAGCTTCACCAACGGCAAGGACGACAAGCCGCTCGTGAAGCGGCTGTACGAGGCCGCCTTCAAGGAGCAGTTTGGCAAGGCGACCGCGCTGTTCTACGACAGCCTCGGCTGGGGCGACGCGGAGGCGGCGCAGCTGGCGGAGGTCCTCGCGAGCGGGGCAGCGCCGCGGCTCGAGACGCTCTATCTCAGCGGCAACAAGGTTGGCGACGAGGGCTGCAAGGCGCTTGCCGCCGCCCTCGGCAAGGAGGGGGCAGCACCGCGGCTCGAGAAGCTCTATCTCAACGAAAACAAGATCGGCGACGAGGGCTGCAAGGCGTTGGCCGCCGCCCTCGGCAAGGAGGGGTCAGCGCCGCGGCTCGAGGAGCTCTATCTCGGCGGCAACAAGATTGGCGACGAGGGCTGCAAGGCGCTGGCCGCCGCCCTCAAGGAGGGGGCCGCCCCGAGCTTGAAGGCGCGAGACGCCCCCCTCGCCACACGCCCCTCCCCCGCCCAATGCTCATCGCTCCTCCCCTCGCGTGCAGGAGCTCCGCGTGGACAACACGGAGCAGCCTGAGCTGGTGGCCGTGTGCGAGGAGCGCGGCATCGACCTCTGGTGAGCCTCTCCAGCCCCGGCCGGGCGGCGAGGGCGCGGGTTCCTGCGGGACCGCCGCGCGAGCACGGCAGAGAGAGCAGCAGACCCTGCGGCTGCGGAGCACGACGCACAGCGGCGGTGGGGTGGGGGGGGTCTGCGTCTCTCGCGGCGCGCTTCGGCCGCTTGGGACAAGAGCGTCGGAGCGGGCAAGAGGGCGGCTTGCGTTGGGCGAAAGACACACGGGGGAATAGATGAGGCAGACCGGAGGCATCTGGCCATTCGGATTGGCGTGTTGCACGTAAATAAATAAATAAAACGGACACCTCTACTAGGAGATGGGTAAAAAGGAACAGGTCCCCGCCCTGCGGTCTTTGTGCAGGGTTCTTTGTGGGTGTGGTCGGCGACTAGCGCCGGGGTCGTCCTCCCGATGGGGGAGACGACTACGGGGTGTGGACCCTGAGTTGGACAGGGGTTGTGCGCTGGGCCCTCCTGCTCGGCTCCAGCCAGTAGACAAGTCTTGTCATCAACAGAGTAGAAGGATCTGACCTCGGGGCCGATGTGACCAAGCGCTGGTAGCGTGGTTTAACCTCACACCCACGGTCTCACAGTGTGCCGGCAGTCGCCGAGCAGTGTCGCTCACACAAGCCGCAGCACAAGTGACTGAGGGCCAGTGAGGGCGAGCCCATCGCTGTCACAGCTGTGGCAGCCGCACAGTAGGCTGTGCCAACTGTGCAGAGCGTGTGAGCAGCAGAGGAGCTGCTCTCCAAGCTTCAGGCGCAAAGAGCTGCATGCCACCGAAAGCGCTGTCGAGGTTCGCCGAGCGCGGCGAAATCCGGGGACGCCGTCACCGACGAGCGCGTTGGACTTTTCACTCCGGACAAAGACGGGGACACAGCGGACGGTGCGGGGTGTGTCCCCGTCATAGCGGCGAGGCGCGGGACCGTCTGTGGCGAGGTGGGTCGCGTCCCCGGATTTTGTTCAACTCACGGGCCACATCCTCTAGCACTAGCCGTCTTCCACATGGTCCCTCGGGTCCCTGCTGCTCCTAATCTCGTCGTACATCCTCCTGCTGATCTCCGCAACATCCTGCTCCCTCCCTCGTCTCGCCCTGCGCGTCTGCTCCGCCTCACCGTCGTCTGCTCTGCAACATGGTATTGCTAAAAATCTCTCTCAAACACAATCTGCGTCGTCTGGTGACGGGTCCTCCATAGTCGGTTGAGGTCGCCGCCCTCCTCGTGCCTCTTATGTGTGTGTGTGTGTGTGTGTGAAGTGCTCCAACTAAAACGGATCTAGGAAATGGAAAAAGCTCTCATCGAAAAGAAATCGTCGGCGAGGTGCACCCATCCGTCTGCTTGCGGCGCTCTCGGCGGACGAGTCTCGGCGGAGTGTGCACGTCGGCCAAGCATGCCGCTGGAGGACGGCTTCAAGTGGCTCTCCACGGCTGCGGTGGCCGTCTCATCGGCGGCGGCGGCCGTTCAGGAGCGGCTCGAGCAGGAGCGGCTCGAGTTTGAGGCGGAGCTGAAGCGGTGCGACGCCGCCACCACGGCGGCCGGCGGAGGCGGGAGCGGGAGCGGCGGCGGGAGCGGCGGTGCGAGTGGCGGCGGGCCGCAGTGCGGCGGCGCGAGCGGCTCCAGCTCCGGTAGCGACGGCCGCGCCCGCACTCTTGGGCGCCTCCGCGCGCTCCTCTCGCCGCTCGAGGATCAGGAGGGGCGGCGGGCGGCGGCGGAGGAGGAGGGGACGGGCGTGGGCGTGGTGATGCTGCCGTGGGAGGCGCCGGGCCTCTCCGCCGACGTCCGCGCGCGCATGCGCGCCCTCTCCCAGAACCGCGCTGCCTTTCTCGCCCCGCCGCCGCCGTCCGCGTCGTCGCCCGCGTTTGAGTTTGACCTGGACGCGTCCGTCGCGGTGGTGCTCGAGGCGCTGTCGGTGGACAAGCACCTCGAGCGGCAGAGGCACACGCTGGTCCCGCGGGCGGTCTCCGAAGAGGCATTCTTCTCCCACTACTTCGCCCACCTGCACGCCCTCGCGACGGGCGCCGCGCCGCCGCCGCCGGCGTCGCCCGGGGGGGACGGCCGGAGCAGCTTCGCGTACGGCTCGTCGTCCTCTCCGCTGCTCGTCACCGGCGCCGGCTCCTCCGACTCGGACGCCGACGAGCGCGCCCTTCTGCACGAGTTTGACCAGATCGGCGAGCTGGATGGGGAGGTCGAGGCCGGCCTCGAGGCGGCGAGGCGGAGAGGGCGCGGCGGGCGTGGCGGGCGTGGCGGCGGCGACAGAGGCGGAGGCGGTGGCGGAGGCGGCGGAGGCGGCGGCGGAGGAGGCGGAGGCGGAGGAGGCGGAGGAGGCGGAGGAGGCGGAGGAGGCGGAGGAGGCGGAGGAGGCGGAGGAGGCGGAGGAGGCGGAGGAGGCGGAGGAAGCGGCCATGCGAGGGGCGAGGGCGGCGGCCGCCGCGGAGCAACAGCGCGCGCCCCGCCTCCCGGCCGTCCTCCGTCCTCCTCCTCCTCCTCGGCGGCAGCGGTGTGCATCGGAGGCGGCTTGGCGAGAGGCGGCGGCCTTTGCGCGGGCGCGGGCGCCATCGACGGCGACCTGTCGGCGCGGTGCGAGACGGAGAGCTGTGACACGGAAGGCTGTGATTAGGCGTCGACGCGGCGGTCCGCGGGGCGGCGGCACGGGTGGCATGTCCTGGACACGTCCGCGACACGTCCCTGACGTGTCCTACACAGGCGGTCGGCGAGGCGGCGGACGGCGCGGAGGCGTGGGAGGCGGAGCTGCAGGCGGAGCTGGCGAAGCTGTAGCAGCACCGCCTCTCACGCCTCCTCCTCGCTTTGTGCCGCCGCTTGCTCTTTTGTTGTGCCGCCGCTTGCTCTCTTGCCCCCGTCTACATGTCTTCCGGGCCCGGCGGACAGCTTCGAGCCGCGGCGCTGGCGGGGAGGCGCCGCTCTAGCGGTCGGGGTGCCGATTCATGTCTGAGAGCCCGATGGTATCGTTTGCGGCGGAACCGGCATCCGCGTCGCGCGCCACCGCGGCAGCCCCCACTTTATTCCACGCGCGGGGAGTGCCCAGTCGCCCATGCTTCTTCGCATGGCCGCGCCATCGTTTCGGGGGACACTCAGCTTGCGAGGACAGCGGCGGTCAGCGCCACAGCGCGCCGCGCAGGCCGCGCACGGCGCAGGCCGAGACGGAGACCCCCCGTCAACTGGGCGTTCTGAGGCGTTCCGCGTTGTCGGGCCGCACCCGACCGACTTCGACACTACGTCCCCCGCCCCACCGCCGCCCGCGGATAGGTGTAGCAGAGGGAGAGAGTGTGTGTGAGTGTGACGCAGACTGTTACAAAGAGCAACAATGGACAACGTGAACGCACGCGGACGCGCGAGAGACCTCCACCCCTCGCGACACCGAGCGACGCCGTCGCACTGCCTCGCTACACGGCTCTACCACCCTCTCCACGCAACAAGCGTCCTCAGAAGTCGGCCGACGGCAGTGCGGGCGTCACCACCGCACGGCGCCTCCCCCACGCAGCCGCAGCACGAGGTGGATCGTGCTCTCCTCCTCAATGTTGTAGTCGCCGATCGTTTTCGTGTCGTCCAGCTGCGTGCAGCGAGGCGCGAGGCGCGAGTGAGGGGCGACGAGGCGAGCGCAGCCGGGCAGGCGCGGCGGAAGGAGAGGGTGGCAGGGACGCGAGGACAGAGCTGACAGAGCAGGCGGAGAGGCGGTGGCGCTCGCGCAGTATTCGACGCCGAGGAAGGCAAGAGGCGGCGAGCAGGGCAGAGCGCGGTTGGCGCGCCTGCTTCCCATCAAATATGAGGCGCTGCTCCTTCGGCGGGATCCCCTCCTTGTCCTGGATCTTGGCCTGCACCGAGAGGGCGGGGCGCGGGGCGGAGGCGTGGGGCGGAGGCGTGGGGCCGCCGGCGCAAACGACGGGCGAGCGAAGAAGCGGCAGAGGAGGCGGAATGGGCGGGCCTTGACGTCGGCGATCGAGTCGCTCTCCTCCACCTCCACCGTCACCGTCTTGCCCGACAGCGTCTTGACGAACAGCTGGCTCGAGCCGCCGCGCAGCCGCAGCGCCCGCAGCCCCGCCGGAGAAGCCCCACCCAGCGCTGCGCCGCACGAGGGCGCCGCCCGGAGCAGCGCGGCCGCGGGCCGGCGCAGCAGCTGCCCGGGCGCGGCGTTGGCGCCTGCGTGCAAGGCTCGCGCCTCGCCCGCAATCTGCAGTAGCAACAGCAAGAGCGGCCTGGCGAGACTCATGGAGCCAAGCGCCACCGGATGAAGAATTCTTGTTCTACAACCCTCTCTCACAGCACACTGGCACGACAAGGGCGCGGACTGGCGCGGACTGGCACACACACCGGCTCACCACCGGAGCCGCCTAAGCGACTCCGTTAAGAACGGCAATGCACTCCGCACCATGCACAATGCCGCTCTCCCCGCACGCTAGCTCGTTCACCGTCTGCCACGCCACGGCGGTGTGGAGGACGACAGACAAGCGCTGCATCTGCAGCCCGTGCCAGTTCTTGGTGGTCCATGTGACCTCGTCCAGGTGCTGAGCGTGCGAAAGTTTGTTGCTCAGCTGGTTCGCCGCCTCCCTCAGGGTGCTGCGAACCTTCAGCTGGTCTGGTTGGTTTACGTTTGCTCAAAGGGGGGCCACGGGGTGAATACGACACTCTGTCGCACTCACGGATTGAAGTCATGCCGGCGTCCCGAGACTGAACGACACGGGCTGACTGCCACCCGCTCGTGTGTGCGAGAGCTCGGACGGGAGATATCTCCGGCCAGCGGTGGGTGGGACGCCTTCCAGCCGGCTGAGGCTGACGGCGCCAATCATGAACAGCTGCCCGACGGCCCCACGCGCACCACGCAAGCCTCGCGCCGCGCCCGGTCTCGCCGTCCTGCCGTCTCGGGCTGACTGCCACCCGCTCGATTGTGGGAGAGCTCGGACGGGAGATATCTCCGGCCAGCGGTGGGCGGGACGCCTTCCAGCCGGCTGAGGCTGACGGCATCAATCATGAACAGCTGCCCGACGGCCCCACGCGCACCACGCAAGCCTTGCACCGCGCCCGGTCTCGCCGTCCTGCCGTCTCGGGCTAGCCATCATGCGGCCGGGCGGAGATGGCCGGGACACAGCCATCGCAGCCATCGGCCGGAGGATGGCTGTACTTGGCTGGAAGGCAGCCAAAATGGCGCGTGCTGGGAGGGCGGAGTGAAGCGCAGCCATCCAAGGTGCAGATTTCAAGGTTAGCCCGCTCTTGGCCGGCGTGAATCCGCCGACATTTTCCCATCAGCCATGAAAAGTCCATCCATGTCGTGGTTCCCGCTTTTGCTCTTCGCTGCCTCGCTTCTCGCCGCCGGCGACGCGCTCCTCCTCGCGCCTGGTCGCTCGGTGGCGGCGCGCCCGGCTGCGCCTCGCGCGCTCGCGACCGTTGCCGAGAAGGAGGGCGAGGAGGAGGGCGAGGACCGGCTCGGGGCGGGCGGCCGCGGCGGCCACGCAGTACGCAACATGCCCGAGCTGAGCGAGGAGGAGAAGGCGGTGCAGGCGGCGGTGATGGAGCACCAGCGCGGTGCCGCACGCCTCACCATGGCCGAGGACGCCCGCTCGCTCGTCGCCTACTCGAGCGGGTACGCGGTGCTGTCGACGCTCTCGTCGCAGGTCGACGGGTACCCGAACGGTGCCCTGGTCGGCTTCGCGCCGGACGCGAGCGGCCTGCCCGTGTTTGTCTTTTCGGCCATGTCGAGCCACACCAAGGACCGCTGACGAGGTTGCCGCCGGCCAACATGCCGCGGACACGCCCACGACCGTCCAGCACGTGTCGCATAGGACCTCTCCAAGGTGGGCGGCCAGGCGGCGCTCACCGTGACGGCCAAGGGGTTCGAGGGCGCCGCTGACGGGCGCGTGACGCTCATCGGCGACGTGGAGCGCGTGGGCAAGGAGCAGGTCGAGCACGCACGAGGCGCTGCAGCAGCGGTACGAGAGGGGAGCGGCCTAGACGGCGCTCGCCCCTCCGTTTAGGTCGAGAAGGAGGGGCTGAAGGAGCTGTACAGGGAGCGGCACCCAAACGCGTTCTGGGTGGAGCTTCGGGCGAGCGCTTCGTGCTGCCCGACAGCGTCTCTTCACGGCCTCCACCTGTGAACAGGTCGACTTTGGCGACTTCACCTTTTACCGCATGGCCAGCCTCAAGGCGGTCAACTTTGTGGGCGGGTTCGCGCGTGCCGCTGCGCCGTCGCCGGATGAGTACCTCCGAGCGCAGATGCGGAAGCCAGCCCCCACATCTCCCCACATCTCCCCACACCTCCCGTATCTCCCCATCTCTCCCCCCATCCCCCCGCATCTCGAGGCCCAGATGCGGAAGGCAGACCCGCATCTCCCCACCTCTCCCCGCATCTCGAGGCCCCAGATGCGGAAGGCAGACCCGTATCTCCCCACCTCTCCCCGCATGTGTGTACTCGGGCCTCCCGGTGGGCCCCGCCACCTTCCGCTGGACTCCGCTGGACTCCGCCGGGTTCAGCTCAAGCCGCAGCCCGTGCCCCCACGCGCATGCTGCGGTCATAGCCCCCGGCTTCTTCGGCATGCCGCAGGCACCTGCGCGCCTGACCATATCTCCCCATCTCTCCCCATCTCTCCCCAGGTATCTGAGCGCCGAGGTCGACCCGATCCAGGCGTTCGCGGCGCCGGTGTTTGGCCACCGAGATATAGCCGAGATACAGCCGAGATAAAGCCGAGGTATGTGCCGAGGTATAGCCGGCATAGAACGGTTGTTTGGCCACAGGAGCTGCGATCACGCCCTCCCGGAGCTGTCACGGAGTAGTGCTGGCCTAGTGGCGAGTCATGAGTGACTAGGTGATGGGCCACATGATGGGGAGATATGGGGAGATATGGGGAGATATGGGGAGATATGGGGAGATATGGGGAGATATGACTAGGTGATGGGCCACATGAACGACGACCACGCCGAGTCAACGGTGGCGATGGCGACGCAGTGGCGCGGCTTGCCTAGCCATCCGGTCACGCGCGGGGCGATGCCTAGGTTGCGATGGTGATGCACTACGTCGGCCTCCCTGATGTGGAGGCGGCGCAGCTGGTGGCGCTCGACCGGCTGGGCTTCATGGTGCAGGTGACGCGCCAGGGGCAGACCTTCAAGCTGCGGCTGCCCTTCCCGCGCGCCGCCGCCGACCGCAAGGACGTCAAGAGCCTCATCGTCGAGATGACGCAGGCAGCCGTCGGCTCGGCTCGGCTCGCCTTGGCTCGGCTCGGCTCGGCTCGGCTCGGCTCGGCTCGGCTCGGCTCGGCTCGGCCAGTCGACTAGCCATCTCGACTAGTCCATCTCGACTAGCCCATCTCGGCCCATCTCGAGAGGACGCTGCAGCGGCAGTGGTCCCGCCCACCTCACCGCACCTTTCCCTACGCAGGCGGCTTACAAGGACGAGTCGGTGCAGGCCCACCTGGCGGCGCTCGCGAAGCCCGAGGAGAGCGCGGCGGCCGCGGGGGCCTAGCTTTGCGGCCCGCGCGCGGTGGGGTGTGACGAGTGTGGCGCAGCGCCACGCTGGGAGCGGCGAGAGCGAGGGAGAAGTTGAGAAGCTCGCGCACCGCCATATACGTGTACCCTAAGTTTCTCCGAGACCTCGGGAGCGGCCGGCTATTCACACCTCGGCAGTGTGATTTGCATTTGGGCCGGGCATGGCTGTGTGTCTTGTGAGCTTGTTTGTGTCTGTGTGTCGTTCGTGCGTGTCGTCATCATCTGTCTCGCGTCCACCCATACCGCGTTGGTGTCCAGTCCGAGCCTGGCTGTTCTTCACCTTTCTACCTACCTACCTAGGGCAGTGTGGGTTTCACACCCGGGGCAGGTAGGGGATAGTGCGACGGTGTATCATTCACTTTATGCCACCGTTGCATATCCGGATATGCAACGGTGGCATAAAGAATAAAGTGACGGATACACCGGTCGCAAAACTGCATTCCTGGGTCGTGCGGAGATGCATCCGGTTTGGGTACCGGCGGATAGCAGGTGAACGCTAAGGTGGTTTCGAGCCAGTGACAACGCCCGTCTGGTTTTTTTGCGCCGAGTCGAATCGAACTCGAGACCCAATGCAGTTTTGCGACGGTGTATCAGTCGCCTTATGCCACCGTTGCATATCTGGTAGGCGCATCGCGCGCGCGCCGCAGAACGCTCGCCGCCGCCACTCGCCGCCACTCGCATGCCTCCTCCTCCGTGGCTGCAGCGCTGCGGCCTGAAGCTGCTGCCCGTGGCTGGCTTCTACAAAATCTGCCGTGACGCCGAGCACCAATATGACACCGCGAACCAACTCGGCGAATCCTTGGTCGCGATGCTGCGCAACCCGCGCAACTGGCTGCGCGACTTGACCTATCCTGAGCATGCTGAGGGCCTTGCGGCGTCCTACCTCGAAGAGAACGGGAGCCGCTTCGCCCGCTTCGCCCTAGACTACGAGAGCGAGAGCTTCAACCTTCTTGAGAACCCCGCGCTGCTCGACGTCTTTGTCGACCAGATGACGCAGATCTTCACGCACATTTTGAAGACCTACCGGGATGCGCGCGACATTGTGCACGCGGTCGACACGCGCTTCTTTCGCGCGCTGCACGCGGAGGCTGCGTACATCCTCGACGACTACGAGCCATTTTGGGTTAACGACGACGACGACGACGACGACGCTTCACTTCTCAACAACATTGAACGTGACTATGAAGGCCTCGGCGAGTTTGGTTCGGGTTCGCGTTTTCTGCTCGAGCAGATTGCAATGGGACGGTCGTTGGAAAGCAGGGTGTCTCGTTACCACGTCGTGACGCTCTGGCAGGGGATGCTGGCGTACCAGCGCTGCAAAGATCCCCTTCTGCGCTGGCTCGAGCGGGCCCAGCACCGGCTGGGCGCGTATGAAGAGGGCGGCGTGGCGCGCCAGCGCGACCTTGAGTCATACGAGGCAGACAATATGGACGAGGCCTGAACGCCTCTCGCACGCTCAAGCGCTGGGTTTAGAGGTGGTGAGTATATCAATGGCATATCCATATGCGCATCCACAATATGTTCTTTTTTGAGAAGTCAGAGATGATAAATATGCATCAAGATTATCAAACCAATACCGCTCGCCCAAGTTGGAACCGCGCTCAACCGCTCGTCATATTAGGATCTATTACGAACCGTCCAGCCGGCAGCAGCTGAGCATGGAGCAGCGGGTGGGCTAGGCAATGCAGGCAGTGGCGCTGCCGTGGTGCGGCCTGCGCTCGCTCGCGTCGCGTGCGCCGGGTCGAGTGCACATAGAGCTAAGTGCCTCGCCGTCCCCTCGCAGGAGTCGCTTGGGCGGCTCCCGTGGAGTGTTGTTGGTGCCATGCGCGCTAAATATATATATGTATGTAAAAAGGAGAGCGCAAAGATTTCGTCAGGAACGGGGAACTGGAAACGCATCGGAAACGAATCGGAACCCGGAAATAAAGAGAACGTCATCTAAGGGAGAAAGAAGAGATGTGGGCAACGCACGAACACAGAGGCACAGCGCGCACCCCGCCCTGCGCTCGCGCAGGGCGTGCATCGCACAGAAAGAAAGAAGGAACGGGCACAAGGGAGGGAGGGGAGGACGGCACGCCGCCACCACACAGTGCTCACGCAGGGAACTGGGCCGCGAGAGTCCTTTTTGGCGCTGCAAAAATTCTTATCCAAAAGCGCCCTTGTCGTGCCAGTGTGCTGGGATAGAGCTTGTATTTGAAGAATTCTTTTCCCACGAGCCTGTGTGCTAAAAAGAAAGAAAACAGACAACCCAAGGGAGGGATGGGAGGACGGCACGCCGCCACCACACAGGGATTTTAAGGAGAGGTGTGTGGTGCGCTATCCGTCGCCCACCCTAGGGAGTCTGCCTCTTCCTATCTCTCTTCGCAGTCTCTCGCCGATTCTCGCCACAGGCTGTGAGAGACAGTTCTTTTCTTTAAATTCTTATCCAAAAAGACGCCGTACCTGGTAGCGCTACTACATGATGTGGCTGACTTTGTTGGTGGCTCACCTCCTTCGCCACAAACACAGCAAAACGTGTGCGGTGCGCCTGCTCAACGACCACTCTGCCCAGGCTTGCCGCGCACAGCATGCTGACGGCGAGCCACAAGGATACGGTTGCGTGCCTGGGCACGCCGACGTGATGTGGGTTAATGCCGGCTGCCGCGGCATATTTTCGTGCGGTGCCAACGCGACCCGGACTGTTTGTGGCAGTCCTACGCGAGGGACGATGAGGATCGCCTGTTCGTGCGACCCCAACTATGCAACACGCTGTATGCCACGACACGGTGCATTCCCAGCTTCGGCGTGCCCATGTTCTGAGTCGGGGTGCTTCCAGCGACCGGCGGCCGACTGGGCTCCGCTCCAGTGCCGAGCGTCGTCGCTCTGCGGGCGAGCCTTGGATTCAGCGATTATCGAGAGGCCCGCCGACGCGGACAGCGGTCGCGTGACAATCCTGACAGTGCTCAGCTACACGCCGAACCCAGACACGCCCGGCGATTTTTCGCGCTACCTGCACCAGTTCCGCTCGCTCGTGAACCTGCTCCACTCGCTCCTCCTCACCGCCACCACGCTGCCCGTGCACACGCTCGTCACCACGCGCTACGCGGAGTTTGAGGAGCGGCTTCAGGCGCTCAAAGCGCGGATGCTGCCCGTCGCGCCGCTCGCGCCGCCGGCGTGGGCGCGAAAGATATTCGCGGGCACCTTTGACAAGCTACAGGCGGTCAGCCTCGTGCAGTTTGACAAGGTCATCTTCCTCGATAACGACTGCCAGGTGCTCCGGAACATCGACCACCTCGCTTACGTGGATGCGCCCGCCGCCGTCTTCCACTCTCCGGACGCTCTGCAGCCGCAAGGCGGGATCAACAGCGGAATGATGGTGTTGCGGCCGTCGCGAGAGGCGGCGGCTGAGGTGATCGAGGCGATGCGCTCGTTGCCGGCCGACACCGTCGTCGATGGTAGCGATCAGGCGGTGTGGCACGCGTACTTCAAGCGACACCCAGTCTACGAGCTACCGCGCGGCTATAATTTCCGCACCAACACTGGGATTCTCGACCGCGACCGATGCCTCGCCTACATCATACATCATGTAGACAAGAGCTCGAGACAAGGCACGCTGAAGCCCGAGATCATGAGGAGCGTCTACACGCGCACCGGCTGCTGGCCGCTCCTTATGTTCCCGGACGCGCTCCGGCTGAAGGTCGATGCCAACGCGACGGCGTGGAACGAGCGCTTCCGCCACGCGCCGCCGCTGACCGCCGAGGAGGAGGGCAGCCCCGACGGCGTGCGAGACCGCTCATTGCTCCGCCCGGTGCTCGCGCCGGGCAATCTGGTCGGCGGGCTCTTCAACCAGATCTTCGCGCTGATCGGGTGCTGCCTCGTCGCTCACGCGACAGGGAGCGCGCTTCTGCTGCCCGAATTCACGTCGCACGTTTTGAACGGTGCGGTCGAGCCGTTTGGCGCCCTCTTTGACGAGGAGCGCTTCCGGCGTGGGATGCGCGCAGCGGGACTCCGCGTTTTGCGCAAATCAACGAATGCGCGCAGAACGTGGAGCGCGAGCCGCGCCGGCCGAACTTCGGGGACCTCCAACTCGTGGCCCTACCTCGACTACTTTTACAGCGTGCGAGAGCGGCGGCGGCGCATGTGCACCGGCCTCCATCCGCTCGAGACCGCCGCCTGGCGCTCGCTGCGGCCGGCGCCGCCGATTGCGCGCGAGGCTGCGCGCTTCCGCGCCACGGCGGGGCTGAGAGAGTCGTACGGCTGCGTGCACGCGCGCATCGAGCGCGACATGCTGTTCTCCGCAGACAGGGTGGGCGCCGGGCCGCCGCCGACGCTCGCGCAGCTGCAGGAGGGGATGGCGGCGGTGCCCGCGCTCCACGGTGCGCGTGAGGTCTTCGTCGCCGTCGGCAAGAACGTGCCGCGCAAAGCGGACGAGAAGATGCTCGCGTCGGGGCGCACAGCGTGGGGCGCCCGCTTTGCGCGCACCGCCACCGGCGCGCGTGTCTCGTACGACTCGAGGTGGAGCTCGGCGAACAGCTCGTACACGCGCGCCGCCGTGCTCGACTTTGCAGTCTGCCGCGGCGCCGCGTGGTTTGTCGGCTGGCCCGGCTCGAGCTTCTCGCAGGGGCTCGCCATCGACCAGCAGGTCAACCGCGGCGCGCCGTGGTACGCCGCCTGCCCGTTGGGGCAGAGCTGCCACGACCCGGCGAAGGTGTGGAAGAGGGAGTTCGCAGAGAAGACGTGCACGACGCGGATGGCGGCGGAGCTGCTCACACGGAGGACCGACGGCGGCGCGGACGACAAGCTGTGCGTCGCCAACCGCTCGTGGGTGTGCACCAGCGGAGGCGGCGGCACAGCGAGCGACGCCGACCTCAAAGCCGTCGTCGAGGCGATGAAGCCGCCGCTGCTGCCCGTGGGGATGCACGTAGCCAAGTAGCTTTGCCATACAGCTGGAGTTGGAATGCGTTCTGGGTCCTCTCGTGCGCTTCCCTTTATAAAGGAAGAAGGAGAGGGGAGAAGCGACTGTGGTGTATAGGGCTCACTGGTCACTCGCCTGCGTTCATGAGTGAAATCGCTCCCCTCTTGTGGTGTCCTTTCGTCCTGTGTCGCGGTCGGGGTCTCGACATGCTGCGTGTCAGCGCGGCGCGGGGGAGGTCAATCTGCAGAAGAGCGACGGCGTCACCGCGCTGATGCTCGCTGCCCAGAGGTGCCAGGAGGGCCACGAGCGGGTGGTCGACCTGCTGTTGCACAGCGCGGTGCAGAGAGATCAACCTGCAGGACAACGTCGGTGTCTGCGACGGTGGTATCAGTCGCCTTATGCCCACCGTTGCATATCCGGATATAATAAGTTATTGACTTAATAAGGGAAACAGAAACACTTCACGGCTACCCATGTATCCACGCGGCTACGTGACTATTTCGGCGACGATGACTTCGCCGTCTTCCATGCCCATTTCGCCTGGGGTCTTGGCCTCGTCGATGCGCTGGCCGTCGAGGAGGAACCGCATGTTGCTCAGGGGCACACCCTTCCTGTTGCAGTATACATGCATCAGCTTCTTGAGCGGCGTTGTCGGTTTGAGCGTGAAGTAGACCTCGGCGCCGTCCTCGTCAATCACCCTTAGCGTCATGAGCTCCGCGGAGGAGCTCGAAGCGGCCTGCCGCACCTCCACGTGGATCACGTCGCCGTCCTCCATGTCGAGCTGCGCCGGCGTCTGGGTCTCGTTGATGTCGGTGCCGTCGAAGATGAAGCGGACAGCGCTCAACGAGACGCCCTGACGGCTGCAGTAGGCGTGCATCAGCTTCTGAAACGGCGTTGTAATCTTGAGCTTGAAGAAGATCTCGCTGCCGTGCTGCGTCACGGTCCTGATGTTGAGATACTCGACCTCACGCCAGCAGTGGGTGCACCTGCACTCCTCGGTGTGCTTGTAGTAAATGGCGAACTGCGGCAGCGTCTGCGCCTGGTTGTAGACAATATACTCGGGGTGCTCGACGCAGCCGCCCTGCGTCACCGTCAGCGCGACGACCGACGAGAGCGGGCCGCGCTTGTCTTTGCGCTCGGGCGGCTTCAGGATGTCTCGGCACGGGGTGTTTTGCATGTGCGGCTCGCCAAGGCAGGCGCGCACCGCGAGCAAGCACCGCTCGCCTTGCTCATTGGGCTTCGTGTAGATGTCGGACTTGGAGCTCAGCGAGGCGAGGTACGTGCCGCAGCCAAAGAGCTTGCCCGCATTTGAGCCCGCGTTGCGCGGGTCGAGGCCCTGTGCCGCGAGGCGCGTGATGAGCCCGCTCGGCGCGCCGTGGTACAGCAGGAACTCGTTGACGTCCAGCCCGTCAAATGAGGCGACGCGCACCGCATCGACCTCGAGCCTCGCCGCCTTGCGCTCGCACAGGCCGGCAACGTCGCAAACCTCGGCGAGGTACTTGTCCTGCAGCCGCTTTGAGTAGATCTGCTCGATTCTCGTCACCTTGAACTGAGGCGCCTCGCGATGCGGGTCGCCGTCCTTCGGGCCACGGTGCCGGGTCACTTGCTTGACGAAGCGGGCCTCCAGGTGAGTGTAGACGGGGTCGTCGCGGTCCAGCCGCTGCATGCGGAACTGGCTGTACTGCGAGAAGTGCGGCAGCCGGCTGATCAGCGCGCGAACGGTGCGGTCGAGCGTCTCGTCGTCGGTCCGGGCGCGCTTTGCGGGCGACATCGGGTGTGCCAACGGTTCAGGAGTCACGGTTTTCTTTTTCCGATCTGGCCTCGGGGGAGGGCCAAAGGTTTCTTTGTTAAATTATTTCGAGACATCCATCATCCAGCGTTGGTGGTGGCGGCTGGCCGCGGCGGCGCGGATGGCGGCGGGAGTCGTGCTGGCTGTCTCCGTGGCCGTGGTGGGGCTGGCAAATGTGGGCGTGGGCGAGGATCCGTTCCGTCAATGCGATCGGCAGTGCCGAGATGCGTACGGCTTCTACGATCGGGCCATCACCGGAGAGCGTACCGGGCTGCTTGGCCGCAACTGCGCCTGCAGCCGCAAGGGTCAGCGGTTCGGCGTCGAGCAGCCTTGGCGTTCACGTCAGGCATGGAACGAATCCTTCTGGTGCGGCAATTTTAGCACCTCACTCGTGTGCGCATTGGACCCGAGAGATACAGGATTTGCTCGTGCTCAACTCGACCAGAGAGTTCGCAACACGCTTTCCCACGGCCTACGCCAAGCCGAAGTGGGTTGGCGGCCACCGCAATGTAGAGCAGCTACGCAAGTGTGCGTGAGGCGGGTGTGGGCTTCAGCGAGGAACCTGCTGCTGCGTGGGCGAAGCCCGCTAACAAGCCGTCTTGTATGGACTGCTGGACAGGCGCTCGCCACAGAGCGCGACGCGCCCAGCGATTCGAAGACTCACGCACCTCTTGCCGCTGCCCCCGCAGATAACGTCGCGTGCGACGCCGTGGCCTGCGTCTCCAACTTTGACTGCATCCGCCGGTTCTTTTACCCGGCAGGCACCAGCTTCTCCGGCTGCATCAAGTGCGACGAGGTTAATTGTGGCGCAGACTTCATCCGCTGCGCCGGGGCCAACCGCCGCTCAAGCGGTGTCAGCTCTGGGGTGTGCCAGTGTTTTTATTGTCTGCGTACTTTATCTAGATCTGATATATCCGGTGCCGACGCGAGGCTATCGGCATGGCTCGCAGTGAGGCGCAACGATTCTCATGCCCACACAGAAAGGACCAAAATGATGTACAAAGTTGCTGAGGCCTCTGGCAAGCAGTTTACTATGTAAACCCAATTTTGGTGTTTATAACATTTTTGGCTGGCCGCCTGGCAGCGGGGGGCCAGCCCCCGCCATGGGCCCCGCCGGCTGCGCACGGAAAATCTCCTAAGTCGATTTGTACCGGATTTTGAAGATTTTGGCAAAAGTGCGAAACCGAAAATGGCGTTTAAATTTGCGCACCTGCTGTCCGCCGCCTGCGGCGGCGCTGCGCGCCGCTGGCGCGCGCTGCGCGCGCGTTTTTGTTTGGGGTGCAGCGGCGCTGCGCGCCGCCGTAGGGGCGCCTGGGGGGGGCCTGCACAAAGGATGCGAGCTCGAGCACATCGACGCAATCGACGGCGGCATCGAGGAGGGGATCAACCTGTTGGGTCGTCGCGAATGGGTGCGATCTCTGGCTTCGCGCACCCTCCCGGAGGACTCCTCGGAGCGCCTAATCTGGACCGAGTGTCTCCTGGACCCTCCGTCTCCTGGACCCTCCCGCAGGCGCGCGACCTCTCCGCCAGCGGTTTCGCGGACTCGCTACGCGAGGGCGTCTTCCTCCTC